AGCCACCCCCAGGGAAGGCCACAGACCCAAACAAGGAAGCCTGCCCAGCCTAGGGGTGTGGATGCTTATCAGATGGCAAGTTTGCAGGGAAAGGGACAGCTCTGCTTGTTTTGCAGCGAGAGGACACAAATTCTCTTGCGGGGGGTGGGGGGCGTAGGCCACGTGGGACCCCCCCAGGGGGTAGGTGCTCCCAACTGCAGGTTTGAAGGGTAAATATACAGCACTGGAGGCATAGCCACATTCCCAGGCAAATACAGAAACATGTTTCCAGAGGGCCAAGGAAATGAGCGCTGGTGTAGGCTGTGTCACGGCCTCAGGCTCTTCTCTGGCTGTGGGAACCAAAGGCTGGACCAGGGAGGCAGTGCGGCCAAGAGGGAAGGGCCTGGGCTCTGTCGTTAGACTGCTCCACTTATGTAACAGCTCGTGGCCTTGGGGATGTATTAATGTCTCTGTACCTCAGTCTCCTCATCTGTAAAATGGGGATGATGACAATGGTGATGATGATCTCCCAGGGCTGTTGTGAGGGCTATGTAGGATCATGCGTGTGGAGCACAGAAAAGGGACCGGCTCTGCCCCTAGTGCTGGGCTGCTGGGGAAATGGCATGAGGACAGGTCTGTCATACCAGAGCTGGAAGGACCCTCACCCACAGAATATTCTCCAAGTTCCCCCAACCCCAAGGGGAAGCGACTTGTTCCGAGTCACTCAGCAAGACTGGGCTGCTGCTTGGGTTCTTAACTGTACCATTCATCATACATACTACTGTGTACCCCACACTGGACTGCATACTTCACATATACTCTTATTTTTTATTTATGTATTTTTGGTGAGGAAGATTAGCCCTGAGCTAACATCTGTGACAATCTTCCTGTATTTTGTATGTGAGATGCTACCACATGGCTTGATGAGTGGTGTGTAGGTCCGTGCCTGGTATTTGAACCTGCGAACCCCAGCTGCTGAAGCAGAGTGCACCAACTTAACCACTACACCACTGGGCCGGCCCCCATATACTCTCTTTTTAAATCCTCACAGCCACTCTGCAAGGCCTATGTTATGCCCTTTAACCGACAGAGAAATTGAAGTTGAGTGAGGTCAGGCAACCTGCCCAGGGTCACGTAGTAAGTGTCTGAGCCTGGGTCTCTCTGACTCAAAGCCCACACTTTCCCCCAAGTCCGGGGGGCCTTTCCTCACCTCCAGCTCAGCTGATGGAGTGGACTGGAGGGTGGCCTGTGGACCTGGGAGGGAGGCAGGGGGTCCCTCTGCTGGGGAGATCCCTCCAGGTGTAGGAGGCTGAATGGCAGGAGCTTGTGGGCTAGGCCACAGGCAGGCCCAGGGTCTCTGTGTAGGAGCAAGAGGGCTGTACCTGGCCGGGGGGTGGGCAGGAGACAGCCTGCTCTACCCCCTGACCTCCCCCACCCCAGCCCTTCTGAGTGGGGCAGAGGGGAAGGCAAGGCCATGGTGGGCCTGGGTGTGTCAGGAAGCACAACTGAGACTACACTTAAAGCTTGAGAGACAGGGTGTGTATACGCACGTGCATATGCACATGTGCTTGCAGCTGTGCACATCTGTGCATGTTCCCGGTGGTGTGTGCATGCATGCAGGTGTGTCCTTAGGCTCACAGGGGCCAGCGTTCTTAGCCTGTGTGTAGCTCAGGCAACCCTCTCCCTCTAATTCTGTCCTCCTCTCGCCCTCCCTGGGGTTGTTTGGTTGAGCTTAATCCTCAGGCAGTTGGGTTCTGGCCAGACCTTTGTTCTTTCCCTTGGAAGAGGTGAGAGGAAGTCTCTAGTGCTTTGTGACTAAGTTCAGCAGAACTTGCTGACCTGGTCCCCTGCTCCCCAGTTAGACCACTAAAGGACCTCTAGCAGAGGCCAGATCTGCAGGAGAAGGGAAGAGAGATGGGCTGCTAACTAGCGGGGGACTTAGGGTCAAGGAGGTCTTTCTGAAGATGGGAAAGAATTAACTTGCTGCAGGGAGGGAGCCAGGACACTGCGGGGGGCGCTGGGGAATAGTTAATTGATGGGGCAAGCTCCCAGCCTGGGCCAGGAGGGGGTCAAAGGCTGGGGTGGATGGACCCTTAGGCCTCCTGGACCAGATGTAGATGTAGATAAAAGCGAAGACAAAAAGCCAGGGGGGGCGGGAGATGTGCCGCTGGCTGAAATAGGAAGAGAATCACCTGGAGTAGAAGGGCCAGTATCTGACGGCATTGAGGGTAGAGATCACGTGGGCTGGCTGAGCTTCCGTGGACAGGTCCCCTCCAGGGAGGGGCTCATCCTGGAGTAGAAGCGGGAGAGTGGGTGTGAAGCCAGGAGGACAGGTTTGGAGGGCCGGAGGTGGGTGCCTGGAGGCCGCAATTGCTGAAGTGGGGAGTTTCAGTGATAACCAGAGTGTGTGGTCTTGAGGGTAGGGACTTAAGTGAAGGTTGCTGCAGGCCAGGGCAGGAGCTGGGTGGGAGGAGCAGGGAGGACACCACACAACAGCCACGAGGAGGAGCAGAGGGTCTGGCAGGGGGTGAAGGAAGTGGGTGTGGACAAGTCCAGATCCAGAGCCTTCTTTACTGTGTCTGTGTCCTTCTGGGAGGGGTCACTCTTTTTCCCCAGCATGCTCAGTTTAACATGCTCAGGGAAAGTGCTATCATCAAGGTCAAATCTCTTTTTTCTGTATTAAGGATCCAAAGCGCAGATAACAGTAAATAGGAAAAAATGGGCTTGGGGTCCGTGTCATAATACGGTATTCGCGTTTGTCTAACATTGACGTTACCTCCTATGACCCTGTAGCCAGACCACTTGAGGTTTCGGTTGTCCCAGGAAATCAGCCCCTCTGACACCAGGTAATGCCTCTGTTCTGCACAGACCCCTCAGCAGGAGCTGGAGAGCTGCCTACTTGCCCCACAAACCCCACACTCAGCTCTGCTGTCTCTGCTCTGCCCTCTTGCCACTCTGATGGAGGTGAAACAACCTCACGAACACTACTTTCCTTTTTAAGCTTTAGTGTGTATGGCTCATGCCTTCCCTAGGCAGTGGGGCTGAGAGTAGTTTTATTTTCAAAGAGCATCCTCTCCCTTTGATGTCAGGTCACAGCCATAAGAGGCAGTGAGGTCAAAAGAGGTGGTGCTGTCGACATGCTGCCACAAATAAGGGCAACTGTGAACCCAAGAAGCGACTTGATCACTTTCAGCCTCTTCTTCTACCCCTCCCCCCACATACACCCACTTCCAAGGCTCCGGTGACCCAGCATTTCTTGGTGCTGCCTCCAGGCTTGCAATGTATGGTTAGGTGGGTTGTGCACTGCACATGAGCCCTTCTTCTAAAGGGGCACAATTCACCCAATATACATGGTAACTTGTAGACTTATTATGACAATCTTCCAGAAGGTGGCAGTAAAGTGTCTTGAGGAGAGGAATAGGGCATGTGAGCTAGCACAGCCCCGGCTTTCTGAATGCATTGTGCTTTGCACCTTCGAAAGTGCTGGAACCCTCTAGACTGTCTGGCCAACTTGGTTTCTCACTCTTCAAAGTCCAGTCAAGACACCACCTCCCTGTGAGGCCTTCTCAACCAGGTTTGGCGTGTTCCTCTGAGACCTTGGCACACACCTCTCTTCCCACCTCACAGAGGATGTTGTCTACCTGTCTCCTCCACCGGGCTGAACCATCTTATTCACCTTTCAATCTGCCCCCATGCCTAGCACAGCACTTAGTATTTGCTCAATAAAAATTTGTTGGGGAAAGAATACTGAACCTGTAAGTCTGTCTTATCAAAAGCTTAGGCTTGAGAAATAATCATCAGGAAAAACCATGCCCAGCATGCCATAGGCCCATTTAGTCTTTGAGATTTTATCCCTGGATTAGGCCAACTCATTGGAGCCAACTGCCTGGAGAGTGCTGCTCCCTAGGCCCCGAATCCCTCTTACCAGGGTTTAGCTCATGCCTTGACTGGTGCTGAGGGACAGGGTAAGAAACAGCTGTGGATCACTTCTGCAGTGTTGATGGCATGGCTGTCTAAGAAGACATTGTTTATTACATCTCACAGGTCTGCTTCTGGAGGTCCATGGAAAAAAGTTCTATGATCTCTATGCCAGGAATATTTTTGCTTCTATTGAGTATGGTGGTGGTTTTCACTTTGCAAAGTGAGTTATTTGGTTACTGGGAAATTTGTGACCCACTTTCTATGATGTGTACTAACTGCAGTGCTGTGTGCTAACTTTCTCTCATCTTCTCTGGAATATGATTTGCTTATTCTAAATAACCATTTTTGTGTTGCGGTGACACACCTGTCGGGAAGGCAGCAGGTGGCAGCACCTCCCTGGGCACATGGTCATCATGTGCCAAGTTGGGTCCGGAACCCAGGTACTCTAACTTCATCAGGCCGAGGCTAAAAGAAACCAAGTGGAAAGGAAGTGAATGCTTCTGGGTCAGCTTCTAGGGTTTCCCAGAGACCATGAGGCACTGCCCAAGACACCAGCATCTCTGACTTCAGGCCCCAAGAGGGCCCTGGGATCTCACGGAAGGCTGGGGTGAACAGAGCAATTATGACCATCAAACTGCTGGGCATTAGGCCAGGGGCCCTGGGCAGGCCCCACTCATCTCCGCATAACCCTAGTGTCTCTGTAGTGCCTAGCCCATGCTGGGCATGCAGCAAACATCTGTTGCTGAATGAGCCCGACGTGGGTTTGACTGTTCCTGGGGCTGGGGTGTCACACCCATTGCCTGACCCTTCACTACGTTAGCTCTGAAAGTAAGGACCATGTGTCCTGCAGGGCTGGTGTGGCCAGGACAAAATAATAATCACTGCCTATAAGAAGTTAGGGCCAAATGTGTCATTTCCAGATCCCTCTTGGGTCTGCGTTAAGTATTTTCAGATAACTGTAATCCGGGCCTTGAAGGGCACGGCAAATATTGTGTATTTGGTGCCTGGAGAAGGATGCCCAGGAGGGTGGAACCGCGGGTGATGGATGCCGGAAAACAGCCTGTCCCAAGCTGCAGGCGAAGTGGGTTGGCCTTTGGCTGGGGTCGGTGGGTCCCGAGGCTCTGCAGGACCTCACTAGCGGCTTCTCTCTCTTGCCTGCAGCTCTGTCGAAGATGCACTGGACACCGGAACACGCCCAGCCCCTCAACCAGTGGCCAGAGCAGCACCTGGACGTTTCCTCCACCACCCCGTCGCCGGCCCACAAGTTGGAGTTGCCCCCTGGGGGTCGCCAGCGCTGCCACTATGCTTGGGCACACGACGACATCTCTGCCCTCACTGCCTCCAACCTCCTCAAGCGCTACGCAGAGAAGTACTCAGGGGTCCTGGACTCGCCCTACGAGCGCCCCGCCCTGGGCGGCTACGGCGACGCCGCCTTCCTCAATGGCGCCAAGGGGGACCCCGAGCCCTGGCCAGGGCCGGAGCCGCCCTACCCCTTGGCCTCACTCCACGAGGGCCTCCCGGGAACCAAGGCGGGCAGCGGGGGCGGCTCCGGGGGCCTCGGGGGCTCCCCGGTTTTAGCCGCGAACCTGCCTGAGCCCCTCTAC